GACTTAAACACATAGATTTTAAAAAAATTTTTTTTTTTATTTTGTGGTGCTGGGGATTGAATCCAGGGCCTTGTATATGCAAGGCAAGCATTGTATTAACTGAGCTATCTCCCCAGCCCCAAACCCATAGACTTTTACAGTTTTTTTTTTTAATTAACAAAGTAAAATAGACTTTTTTTTAGTATGTAGTTTCTATGGATTTTAGCACATATATAGGAGTAACCCTCCAAACACCTTTCTGCTGCCTCTTTGAGGTCATATCTTCCTTCCAAACTGTACCCTTGGTAACCACTGATCTATTTTCTATGATGTAGTGTTGTTTTTTTGTGTGTGTATGTGGTACTCGGGATTGAATCCAGGGGTGCTTGCCTATTGATCTACTTCTTAACCCTTTTATTTTATTTTTGAGACAAGACAGGCTCTTGCTAAATTCCCTGGTCTGGCCTTGAACTTGATCCCTCCCCCCAGTTGCTGGGATCACAGGTGTGCTGTGAATAGTTTGTTGTTCTGTCTTTTTCAGATTGTCATTGTGAGTGGAATCATACAGTAGGTAGCCTTTTATGGCTGGCTTTATTCAGTATAATGCCTTTAAGATTTGTCTACGTTGTGAGTATTGATAGTTGGTTCATTTTATTTTTTATTTCTTTTATTTTTGGGAGGTACTGGGGATTGAACTCAGAAGCACTAGGCCACTGAGCCACATCCCCAGCCCTGTTTTGTATTTTATTTAGAGACAGGGTCTCACTGAGTTGCTTAGCACCTCGCTTTTGCTGAGGCTGGCTTTGAACTCAAAATCATTCTGCCTCAGTGTCCCGACTGCTGGGATTACAGGTGTCTGCCACCATGCCCGGCTTGTTTTATTATTTTTGAGAGGTTTCATTATATGGATGTTCCACATTCATGCACCTGTTGAAGTACATTTTGGATTGTTTGCAGTTTCTGGTGGTTATGACTAGAGTTGCTGTAAACATTTATGCACAGATTTTGATGGGAACATAAATTTTCATTTCTTCTGAGCACATACTCAGGAGTGGGATTGGTGAGTCATCTGGCAAGTAAAAGTTTATCTTATATAAGAAATTGCCAGGTTTTTCCAGAGTGGCTGTACCATTTTGCATTCTCTTCAGGAATGTAAAAGAGACAAATATTTCTCATATCCATTAGTACTTCACCTTTTTTTAAAAAATATTTTTAGTTGTAGATGGACACAAGACCTTATTTATTTATTTTTATGTGGTGCTAAAGATCAAACCCAGTGCCTCACACATGCTAGGCAAGCGCTCCACCACTGAGCTACAGCCGCAGACCCCATTAGTACTTATTATTGTTATTTTTCCCCCCTACAGTTACCCATAAGGAGTGGTAACTCACTGTGGTTTTAATTTCTCATTTCCTTAATAGCTATTGATGTTGAATGTCTTCATGTATATATTTGATATCCATATATTTTCTGTAGAGTGCGTGATCAAGTCTTTTAAGAACCATTTTTTAAGGGGGTTGTTTGCTTACTGTGTAGTTTTTTTTTTTTTTTTTTTTTTAATTTTTCAGTTGGACACAATATCTTTATTTTGTTTATTTATTTTCATGTGGTGCTGAGGATCGAACCCAGGGCCTCACATGTACTAGGTGAGTGTTCTACCGCTGAGCCACAACCCCAGCCCTGCTTACTGTGGAGTTTTGAGATTTCTTTCATATGTGTGTGTGTGTGTGAGTGTGTGTGTATTTTAGTTGTTGATGGACACAATACCTTTATTTTATTTGTTTATTTTTATGTGGTGCCAGGGATCAAACTCATATGCTAGGCAAGCGCTCTACCACTGAGCCACAACTGTGGCCCTCTTTATGTGTTTTGGATGTGAGTCCTGGTGTTGGATGTGTGACTTGCCGATATTTTCTACTAGGCTATACTTTGTCATTTCATTTTCTTTTTTTAAGTTGTCTTTTTATTTTCTTAAGTGTCTTTCTCAGAGTAAATATTTTGAACTTTGATTAAAGTCCATTTTGTCCTTTTTTTGTTTGCTTTATGAATTGTCCGACTGGTGTCCTAAGAATTCTTTGCTTAGCTCAAAGCATAAGGAGTTTCTCCTATGTTCTCTTCTAAACATTTTATAATTTTAGGTTTTACATTTAGATCTTGATCCATTTTGAGTTAACTTCAGGTTGAAGTTGATTTTTTTGCATATGAATGTCCAGTTGTTCAATATCACTTGTTGAACATCATTTTCTCCATTAAATTGTCTTCACTCTTTTGTAAAATTCCAATTGGCCATATTTGTGTGGTTCTATTTCTGGACTCTGTTCTCTTCTTTTGATCTATTTGTCCATTCTATGCCAGTAGCACAGTTTTTGATCATTGTAGCTTTATAGGAAGTCTTGCAATTGAATAGCATGATCTCTCTAAGTTTATTCTTTAATATTATTTTTACATTTATCTTTTAGTTGTAGGTGGACACAGTACCTTTATTTTATTTTTATGTCATGTTGAGGATCGAACCCAGTGTCTTACACATGCTAGGCGAATGTTCTACCCCTGAGCCATAACCCCAGCCCCTAAGTTTATTCTTTTTCAACATTGTTTTGACAATTTTAGTTCTTTTGCCTTTACATATAAATTTTAAAATCATCTTGCACATATATACATCTCCATTCTACTGGGGTTTTGATATAGAATTCTAAGATTCTTTTTCACTTAGTACATTAAAAATGTAGTTTTGTGCATGTAATGCATCTGCTTTCAAACTTTTTTCCTTGTTTTTAGTTTTGTGCATTTTAATTATGATGTATCTGAAGGTATAGTGCCTTAGACTTTGGTAGAGATTTCTAAGGCTTTTGTGAACTCCAGGCACTTTCAGCACTGTTATTTCCCTGAAGTCACTTTTCTCTCTACGATGAATCCTTTTCTTCTTCAGAGACCATGATTATACAATAATAATTAAACCTTCTGCAATTGTCCCACATATCCTGTGGTTTTATTTTTCTCTAATTGTTCTTCTTTCTCATGTTTACATTACATATTTACTATTTTTTTATATTTCTTTTTTAGTTGAAGTTGGACACAATACCTTTATTTGTTTTTATGTGGTGCTGAGGATTGAACCCAGCACCTCACGCTTGTTAGAAGAGCTCGCTACCACTGAGCCACAATGCCAGCCCACATATTTACTATTGATCTATCTTCAAGTATTGACTTTCTTTTGTTATCTCCATTCTGCTATTGAGCCCATTCTGTGAGTTTTTAATTTTTATCATATAAGTATTTATTTATTTTTGGTGGTGCTGGGGATTGGCCTTGTGCCCAGCCCTAATTTTTAAATATTATGTTAAAAGACTGGGTCTTATGTAAATCTTACGAAAAATGCCAATGTTTCTTTCATCAGGCAGTTATTGGGTTCAGACTTAGTTCTGATCAGCCTTCTATGCATTATGCATTCAGCAGTACTTGTGTTTCCTAAATCTTGGTAGTACTTTTCAGATTTGCCTTGGATATATGCACAGCCTAGTGACTCAGGCAGTTGTCTGGCCCTTAGTTTTGTTCTTAATGTCTTTGGTATACTGTTCAGAACTACATCCATGCAACATGCAAGTACAGCTTCCATGTGAGCCTAGGAGTTTGTTTACAACTTTCTATGATGTTTTTCCCAAGCTCATCTCTCTCTGAGATTTATATATAATATATATATATATATATATATATATTTTTTTTTTTTTTTTTTGGTCCTGGGTATTGAACCCAGGGTCTCAAGCATGCTAGGCAAGAACACTACCACTGGGCTACATCACCACATATTTAAATTTTTTATTTTGAGATAGGGTCTCTCTAAATTGCTCAGGCTGATCTTAAACTTGGGATTCTCCTGCCTCAGCCTCCAGAGTAGCTGGGATTACAGGTGTTTGTGCAACTACTATTTTTTTTTTTTTAATTCCCTGAGCCTCACTTTTGGTCTTTAGCCTGAAATTTGGATCTTTTGTTACCTCATTTTTCTGGATGCATCTGAGGCAACAGGGGCCCAGAGAGATAAAGAAAGCCACAGGGGTTTACCTCCTGGTCTCAGGACTGCCTTCTCTGATTAGGAAGGAAGTTTTCCCTTCCTCAGTGTGTATATGCTTGTTGAATCCTACTGATAACCACTATTACTGCTGCAGCCACACTTCAGGCCAGCCTGGGTGTGAAAGTAGGGAGTCTTGGAGGAAAAAGAGAAAAAGGCAGAGGGGGATCACTATGTTCCCTCTGAGTGTTGGGGGTTCCCCTTCTGGTTCTATGAGTTCAAACAACAGAGCTTTGCCTGGAACCCAATTTAGTTTTTAGAGTACTAGTTCAGGGGAAGTCAGAAAAATGGGAAGTTCCCTTCCAGTCTAATAGTACTAAAAAGAAGTATATGTGTATGTCGGGGGTGGGGGTGAGGTTCTGGGGACCAAACTCAGTCCTCCTTTGTGCTATTGGTACACAAGTTCTTGTCTAGTTCCCCAGTGCACCTGCTACTAAATACTATTTAAGAGTCCAAGAAGCTGCCTGTGTATTCTCTAGGGTTATATTTGTACATAGTAGAAGAAACAGGATGGAGTACACTTTTACTCATTATAATCTGAACTGGAACTCAGTTCTTTTTAAATTTGTTTTTTAACCTTTTAGAAGTCTGACTTTTGTCTTATTATAAAATCCTTCATTGTAGAAAACTTGAAAAATAAAAGTAAGATAAAAGAAGATGAAATCTCTATAAACTCATGAACTACTGCTATTTTGGTGTTACCATATAGTCTCTTTAATTTCCTACATGTATTTTTTTTCTGCTTTTTTGGGGGAGGTGCTTGGGATCAAATCTAGGGCCTTACACATGCTAAGTCTACACTCTACCCCTGGTTTTCACCCCCAGCCCCTCAGTTTTAACAATAAAAATTAACTAGATAAATAATGTTAATTATTTTAACCAGTAGTTCCAACGCCCAGTTACTGTCGACTCAATCTCATTATTTTTAATTAAATTTTCTCTTTTCTTAAATAGGTAAAAAACCTTTATCCTCGAGTTGGCTGGGTTGAAATTGATCCTGACATTCTCTGGACTCAATTTGTTGCTGTAATAAAAGATGCTATCAAAGGTAATAGGATTAATAAAAATAACAATGGCCTCTATGGTATATTTTGATTGTAATAAGAGTTTTCCTCAGGGATTTTATTAAGAGTTTTCTGAGGATTCTGTAGAATTTGTTGTTATAATATACATGTAGTATTTTATTAGGGGTCACAGTTTCCCTATATTTTTGGGGGGTGATTTGTGATTCACAGCAAACCACTTCAATAAGGAAAAGTAACAGCAACCATGTCCCCCCATTTGTCTGTTCAGCTGTAATTTAAATGAATGTTTATCTTCTTTCATCCTGCTTGTACCTAGGACTGACTTGATTTCCTGATGCTTATAGAATACTATTGGGTTATAAACAGTTACCATGTACTGAGTTCGCAACTGTTCAAAACTTACTTCATTGTAAAGTAAGTTTTCCTTCTGTGGTCAGTTGATGTGGTCTTCTAACCACAGCCATGGACTAAAAATCTTAGCTCTTTAAGAGTGTTATTAGGGCTAGGGATATAGCTCAGTTGGTAGAGTGCTTGCCTCCCATGCACAAGGCCCTGGGTTCAATCTCCAGCACAAAAAGAAAAAAATAAAGAAAAATGTTTTCAGCGCAACTGTGTTCAGTAACATTGCAGAAGATGACTTATAGATTATAGAAAGTATTTTATGTCATTTTTCAAGCCTGAATTGCTTCTCCCCCTTATTTTAATTTGTAATATTTCAAAACTTATTAAAAAGTTGCAAGAATAAGGAATGGGAAGCTAGCTCATAGTAGTAGAGCATGGTAGAGCATGCATGAGGCCCTGAGTTTCTTCCCCAGCACAGTAAAGAAACAAACAAACAAAAAACGTTTCAACAATAATAGAACAAACATTGGTATACCCTTCTCCCAGATTTAAACAATTTTCTCCACGAATATTTTTTCCTGAAATATTTGAGGGTTATTTGTGGTGTAATCTGTCACATCTAAACACTGTAGCATCATCTCCAAAGAAAAGCCATGTCCTCATGTGTATGCACAGTGCAGTTATCACACTTAGGAAATTAGTAAATACCTTACTACAGTATTTAACAATATTTAGCATTCATAGTGTCCTCTAGTATTTAGTCTTCAGTATTCTCTTATCTCAGTAAAAAAATAATAATAACTTTTTCTTTGTCTAGATTGCAAAGATGAGGCTTTGCAAATAGCTGTTAGTCTGTTTAGTCTACTTTAATCTATAGCAGGTTCTTTATGACATCGACAGTTTCAAAAGCACAGGCGAAGCCTGGCACAATGGTGCGCTCCTGTAATCCTAGCAGCTTGGGAGGCTGAGGAAGGAGGATCTTGAGTTCAAAGCCAGCCTCAACAAAAGTGAGGCACAAAGCAACTCAGTGAGACCCTGTCTCTAGATAAAATACAAAATAGGGCTGAGAATGTGAGGATGTGACTCTGGTCGAGTGCCCCTGAGTTCAATCCTCAGTATTCAAAAAAGAAAGCAAGCAAGCACAGGCCAGTTTAGCAAGCTGCCCCTCATTTGGGGGTTGTCTTATTATTTTCTCATCATGAGATTCAGGTTGAATATTTTTGTAAGGAATACTATGTATGGTGTGATAATTTTCCTCAGAGCTCAAATTGAAGTTGGCCAAAATTTTCCCAGTGGGGTAAACTGATGTTTTAAAAGAAAGTTACAGGTGCATACTTGTATCCTAGTGACTCTAGAGGCTGAGACTGAAGGATCGCAAGTTTGAGGCCAGCCTTGGCAATTTAATGGAGCCCTAAGCAACTTAGTGAGACCCTGTCTCAAAATAAAAAAAACAAAAAGGGCTGGGGTGTGGCTCAGTGGTAAAAGCTCCTCTGGGTTCAATCCCTGGTTCAAAAAAAATTATAAAAATCACTTGGTATTACTATATTTTAGGAAATTTGGATTTTAAAAACATGTTTTTATTTACATCCTTAATTTCTATTTGTATTGAAAACATATTCTCAGCTTTAATAATTATTTACCTTTATCTCCATCAATCATCTTATGTTGTGATTGATCACCACCTAGGTTAAATTTCAATTTTTTAGTGTTATCAGGAAGAAGAACATACTACCTGAGTTACTTTGAATACATTTTTCTTTTTCTAACGTTTAAAGCTATTTTGTTAGGCTATGTCTTTTTCCTTTTAAATTAAAAAAAAAAAAAAAAAAACTACAAAATCATCCAGGTAGTGCTTTATTTATTAGTTCTAATTGTTTCGTTAAAATGCTAAGCCCAGTTGGGCATGGCCACACACATGCCTGTAATCCTAGAACTCCCTCCCCCACAAAGTGCTAAACCCAAGAGTTTTCCTTAAAGATTATATTGAATAATTTATTTTCCATACAGTAATATGGTCAAGTAAACATCACTGGCTTTTAAACATGTGTTTCACTGGTCTTCACCTGCAGCTGCAGGAGCACAGACGAACCAGATTGTTGGTCTTGGTATATCCACACAGAGAGCGACTTTCATTACGTGGAACAGGTGAGTGCTTTGTGTGATAAGCACTGTATTGTGGGTTCCTGCTTCAGTGCTTAAGCAGCTGCAAAACCTGTTTGGGGTATTTTGGTGAATTGAGATGAGCTTACTTTCTGGCTTGCAGGCTACTCACTTGGTCTTGGGCTTTACTTATGTAAAATAACAATAAAGAGCTTCTTGTCATGAAATTCTCCTCCTCTTTTTGGATGTTAACTTCCAAAGGAGTGGATTGAAGATCTAAAAAATTATGTTATTCCTAGAGAGTCAGGGAATTTAACAATCTTTTGTTGTTGTTATTGTTCTGGGGATTGAACCCAGGGGCACATAACTACTGAGCCACATTCCTCCCCAGCCGTTTTTATTTTTCATTTTGAAACAGGGTCTCCTTTAAGTTACTTAGGGCCTTGCTAAGTTGCTGAGGCTGGCTCAAACTTGCAGTCCCGCCTCAGTGTCCCAAGTTGCTGGGGTTATAGCCATGCACCACCGCACCTGGCAACCCAGAAAATTCCAATATTGTGCTTATAGTTTAAATTTTCAGACTACTCCTAATTTACTGTGTAGGTACCAAGCATCCGAGGCATATGCAGATTAGACATAATTATGGTATTTAATAGCAACCATAGCGTGAACACCTATGATACTCCAAGTTTCATTATCTTTATAACAAACCTGTTATTTAGGTATTGTGTCTGTTTTTAAAGAGACAGAAACTGAAACTCAAAGAAATAAGGAGATTGTTCAAAATTACTCAGTAAATAGAGCCAAGATTCCAAATTATCTTTTTGGGTTTTTTGTCTTATTTTATTTTTGCAGTGCTGGAGATGTAACCCACGGCTTCATGCTTGCTAGCCAAGTACTCTCACATCAAGCCAAGCCTCTAGCCCAGCATGTGTTGTTTTTTGGGGGGCAGAGGTTTGGGTACCAGGGATTGAACCAAGGAGCCCTTAACCACTAAGCCACATCCCCAGCCCTTTTTGATTTTTATTTTGCAACAGGGTTTCATTAAGTTGTCCAAGTCCTCCCTGAATTGCTGAGCTGGCCTTGAATTTGGGATCCTCTTGCCTCAGCCACTGAAGTTGCTGGGATTACAGTTGTACGCCACTGTGCCCAGCCAGTGTGAGTTTTTTTTAAGGGAGAAAAAAAACCCAACCCTGTAAAATTTGTCTTTATTACAAAGCACTAGACTCCAAAGTGTATGTTGAACTTGGGCCTTGGGAAATATAAGTAGGAGGAGGAAAATCCCTGTGAATCTGAAAAATATATTTGGGGTGAATTCATACAAACTTACCTCTGCTCCAGCAGTACTGAGGATTGGATCCAGGGGTGCTCTACCACTGAGCTATACCCCTGACCCATTTTATTTTTTATTTTGAGACAGCGTCTTGCTAATTTGCTAAGGCTGATCTTGAATTTGGGATCCTGCAGCCTCAGCTTCCTGAGTAGCTGGGATTACAGGTGGGAGTACAGGGCAGCACCTAGCTAGGACATGGTTTCTGATTTAGTGTTAGGCAAGAGGAAGAAATTTGAATTTAGCAATATTTCTGGCCTTGATATTTTGGAGAGTGTGATAAAAATCACAGAGAATACAAGAAGAGGGCTGGGGTTGTGTCTCAGAGGTAGAGCGCTTGCCTAGCATGTGTGAGTCACTGGGTTCGATCCTTACCACCACATAAAAATAAAGATATTATATCCACCTATAATTAAAAAATAAATAAATAAATGTATATTTTTTAAAAAGAGGAGGCTGGGGATATAGCTCAGTTGGTAGAGTGTTTGTCTCGCAAGCGCAAGGCCCTGGGTTCAATCCCCAGCACAAAAAAAGAGAGAGAGAGAGAACACAAGAAGAGGAACAGGTTGGGTTTGGGGAGACTAGGTTAAAGAGAAGATGATAAAGTGTTTGGTTTTGGATGTCTGAATGTGGAGATATGCTGGAGGTGTCTGGAACATTGGTGTCTTTAGGGTGAGGCACAGCAGATCTCCATATAGCTACTTTCTGTTTCGAGGCACGGTGTGTCTGAGGTTGATACCTTCATCTGCAGTCCCCCTGTGCCTGCCCTCCAGTGCCTTGAATATGGTGAGTCTTTAATAGTAATATATCATCAGATGAAGTGATGAATGAATTCAAGTTATCTGTGTAGATTTAATCAATGGCACTGTGGAAGTTTAGGGACAGGAAGTTCTTTCTTGTGGAAACTGTTCCATGGCATGCAGATGTTTGGCTGCTTTCCTGGTCTCTGTGAGATGCCAGTAAGCACCCCCACTCCCATCCTATTGTAACAACCACATGCAAAATCATGCTCAATTGAGAACTGCTGGTGCATATGAAGTCTAGACAAGTGGATTTATCTGGTAGGATTATTTGGAGAGAAGAGAAGCAGGCTGAGGATTTGGACTATGACCCCTTCCTCCAGAATCAAAAGGAAATCAGGAAAGAAAAAGCTGGCAAAGCAGGATCAAAGCCAGGCTGAGAAGGGGATGATAAGGTCATGGAGGCAAGAGAGTGTTTCCAGGAAGGGAGCTGTTTGGAAGTGTCACATTTGGTTGGATTTGGTGATAAGGTCATGGGCCCCCCAGAGTGCTTTCGTCAGGATCTGGTACCTCTCATTCAAGATAGGAGTTTCAGGAATACACTTGTTGGGCAGCAGTAGGACCATACCTTGTTTTTAGAAAAGATATAAGAATCAGATTCCAAGCAGTCTGCTTCCCTTATTGGTATTGCTATTTTTCTTTGTAGAGGGAACAAGTTTTCTTCCTAGATCAATTATGTGAGTTTCTTTTCTTGGCTTTTTTTTTTTCTTTTTTGAAATATTTGTATTCTTCTGTGAGTTTTAGAAACACTCTTTGCTTGTAGAACACTGTAATGCAGATTTTTTTTAAGATAGATGCAAGGCCCCTTTCTTCTTTACCCTAAAATAATGGAGGCTTATTCTGCTCATTGGGCCTGAGTGAGCCACTGTGGTGCATGATGCTGGCAGGTTCCAGAAGCTTGAAGTACGCCTTGTTCCTCTGTGGGAAGGGAGACAGACCAGACCCTCTGGAACAATCTATTGTTTGCTCCAGTCCAGCCAGTGCCCCTCCTCCCCCCTCGTTGTTTGCCTTTTTCCTATGAGCAGGATATATCCCTGTCCTCATGGCCATACAAACACTGTTTTCCATATGCTTGCTATCAGGAGGTATAAAACTTAGAACTTTCTTACTGTTTTTCTCCTTGTTTTTTTCCCCCTGTAAGAGACCGGGAAACTCAATGTTGTTAATTTTTTTTTTTCAGTCCTTGAGTTTTCTTCATATTCTTTGGATTTAACTTCTTTTTTTTTTTTTTTCCTTCAATATAATCAGTGGTGTGTTTAGCTGACTTTCTAAAATAACTCCAAATATATCACCTCTGTTTTGATTTTTTAAAAATTTCTTTTGTTTTACAAAATCACTAGCTATTTGTTTCTTGCGTCGCTGTGTCTCTCAGGGAGACTTCTGCCAACTAACCTCAGATCAGGGTGTGTGCCAATCAGTAACATAAACTGCGTGAGTCGTGCCAGTGAGTGGGGAACCCTCCCCTCCGTAACTGTTGGGAGGTTCCCAGGGAGTGACTCGCTGTGGTGCTGCTGAACTGAATACAAAGCTGAGTAGGAGTGCCAGCCCCCAAGTAAGTCTCCTTACTCAAGTTTTATTCCATGATCTTGCCACATGAAATATGTCTTTCATTGTAGCATTTAATATTTATGTTAATGGCTCTTGCCACTTATTTATGACACAAAATATATAAGAGCCACAGAATGGTATAACGTGTTGGAAGGGCTTAAGACAGTTTCATTATAACATTGCCATTTATGCTCTTCTTTTTTTCTCCTTTTATTGTTGGTAGAAATAGAATTAAGCCAAGTCAGTGCTATGTGAATGTTGGAATATGTGCTACCCCTTGAGGTCAGTTTTCTAGATTGTCTTGTACTGTGATCTGAATTGGCAATATCGCTTCCACGTTTTGATTTCCCCCACTTTGCTCTTCAGCACACTAGCCTGCCAGTCCCTAACACTGCTTCATGATGACTGAAAAAATAACAGCACTTTTTTTCAAGAATATTCACCTTCCTGTTGGGCATGCCTATAATTGCAGCAACTTGGGAGGCTGAGGCAGGAGGATCACAAGTTCAAAGCCAGTGTCAGCAACTCAGTAAGGCCCTAAGCAACTTAGTGAGATCCTATCTCAAAATAAAAAAAAATAATAAAAAGGACTGGGGATGTGGCTCAGTGGTTAAATGCCCCTGGATTCAATCCCCAGTACCAAGGCAGGGAAAAAAAAATGTTCACCTTCTTAGTTAATTCCTAAGCAACCTTCTGAGCTCAGTTCCACAGTCACTTTTCAAAGAAGCCTTTCTTGACCCCCAGTCCAGGAATGGTCTCTCTGTTAAATATATTTATGGCACCTTGAACTTCTACTCCATGACATTTATTCTTGTCCTATGTAAGCAATTGAGTGATTCTTTGTTTGAATTTCCTGGTAAAAAGTATGTTCATCAGGGCAAAGATGCATTGTCTCTGTTCACAGCTCTGTCCCCAGAAACAGACAAAGATTGCCTTATAAATATTGGCTGAAATCATTGAGGATATGACCATAAATGTGGACTGCTTAAGTAGAGTGGGGAATGGCAGCCTTGGAAAGTGACACAGGAGGGGACCTGAAGAGGGTAGCAAGCCAGCCCGAGTTTAATGTTGAAGGTTAGTAGATGCTGTGCTGGGGGTGTGGCTCAGTGGTAGAGCATGTGCAGTCACTGCTGGCACACAGGTTTGTGGGAACCAGTGGCTGATTTGTAGGATCCTTAATAGGAGAAAGGAGTTTTTCACTACTTCTTTCTTTATTTTCCACTATTGGGGATTAAACCTAGGGGTACACCATCACTGAGCTATATCCCCAGCCCTTTTTATTTTTTTATTTTGAGACAGCATCTCATTAAGTTGTCCAGGCTGGCCTTAAACTTGGAATCTTTCCCTTATGCCTCAGCCTCCCCAGTACCTGGTGTTATAGGTGTGTGTCATTATGCCCAGATTCTTCTATATTTTTTTAGTGCTGTACTCTTATTGTGGTATTGACCCAGGATTTGCTGAATTTCTGGGGTTTTTCTTTTCTTTTTTAAATATATTTTTTTAGTTGTAGATGGACACAATACCTTTATTTTGTTTATTTTTATTTGGTGCTGGGATCGAACCCAGTGCCTCATGCATGCTTGGTACGCACTCTACCACTGAGCCACAACCCTGGCCCAGGGGTTTTTATTTTCTTAATGTTTAAATTTTTTTTGCAGGGCTGGGAGCTAACCCAAGGCCTCACACATGCTAGGCAAGTACCTTACTACTGAGCTACGTCCCCTGCCTTTTCTGTTTGCAAATAGGATCTCACTGTGTCGCCCAGGCTGTCTTCTAACTTGCATTCCTTCTGCTTCAGTCTCCCAAGAAACTGGTATTAAGGAGCATGGCACCATGCCCGGTTTGAATTTCTGTTTATTGGAGAAATTTTGGTAAGCGTATTAGGTTCCTGAAGGCTAGGCCAAATCCTACAATTGAAAGGTAAAGAAATAGGCTCAGGTGATATTTTAGATCCTCTGAGGTCAGAAGTTTTTATCTGATTATATGTATCAGGGTAAGTACAAGGAAGGGAAAAGGCATTGGCTTTGTATCTTGCTTTTAAAGAAGCCGTTGGGCATGGCAGCACAAGCTTCTTATCCCAGCTATTCAGGAGGCTGAAGCAGGAGGGTTGCAAGTTCAAGACCAACCTGTGCAACTTAGTGAGATCCTGTCTCAAAAAATAAAAAGGGCTGGGGGTGAGGGGCTGGAGTTGTGTGGCTCAGTGGTAGAGCACTTGCCTAGCATGTGTGAATCACTGGGTTCGAGTCTCAGCACCACATATAAATAAATGATAAAGATCCATTAACAACTAAAAAAAAAAAAATTTAAAAAAGGGCTTCGGATGTAGCTTAGTGGTACAGTGTTCATGTCCAAGGTCCTAGGTTCAATCCTTAGAGAGAAAGAGAGAAATATGTGGAACAAGTTTTCAAAGGCCTTTTCGTTTGTTGTTTTGGGGTGTGCACACATTGTAGTATTTCAAAAAGATTATCTTTGGGGATGGAATCTGATCTAAAATTTCACAATGTATGTCATATTATTGTGATGCAGTGTGTTTAGTTTAAAAAACCAAAGAGAAGCTGTTCAGAAAGCCCCATCTAATTAAATCATGCTTTGAAATTATATTTTAGCTTCTAATTTTGTTTTCTCTCATGGCAGATCTTTAGTATAGTCTCTGATGTTTACAGAGTCTCAAAACTTTGTTTCCTTCTTTTTTAGGAAAACAGGAAATCATTTTCACAACTTTATTAGTTGGCAAGACCTAAGAGCAATTGAACTTGTAAAATCCTGGAATAATTCTCTTATAATGAAGGTAATCTTTTCCTTAGATCTTATGTTATTTGGATGTTATTGTTTTTTCCTATAACTACCTCTTAACTGTAGACTTAATTACATAACTGCCTTCGTTTGTTGCTTTAGGATATTAAGAGTACACAAACAATTCCCCAAACCAGTAAAGTTTAATAATAGTCACCCAAAATTATATATGGTAGACTTAAGTACTTAATAGTTGCACCTTGGGAAGTCTTGAGGAGGTTGGGGGGACCACACTTTTACCTGTTAGTGGGAATTTGTGTTTCTATCCTTGAGAAATGGAAAAGACACAGACTAGATAGAATGAAATATCCAAATTTCATCATTGTTGTAATAAAGTGAAGAATGGATACTGAGATAATAGCTGGCAGCCTGCCACAAACTCTTCACTTTATGCCTGGAAGTAGTAGGCCATCAGTCAGTGACGGTGCTATCGCTGGTGGTGGCAGCAGCAACAGCATCAACACTAGCTGCAATTGTGTTATTTCTCTGAAATCTCCCTCCCTCCTCACTGTGAGATTACTGAGTCAAAGGGTCAGGTGTTTTCCACCTCCTCAAACGTGGTCCAACCTTCGGTGTTTGATGTTCCAATTAATATTCCATATTGATGAAATAATCAATTTCTAATGCCTCATGATCAAATGCCTTCTCAGCTACTATGCTGGCACCAGACAGTGCATATATTGTGTGTATATATGTGTGTATATATATTTTACATATATTTAAATGCATCTTGTCATAATAATTTGTGAGACTGAATATTGAGAGTTTCTGTGTATAGGAAAGAAATGGTAGTTAAAGGAGTTGAAAGTGATTTTAAGGAAATATCTTGAATCCTGAAATGTATAATTTAAAATAAAATCATTTAGGGCTGAGGATGCAGCTTAGTTGTAGAGTGTCTTCCCTAATATTTTGTAAAGCCCTGAGTTCCATTCTGGCACTGCAAAAAATTAAATAAGTAAATACATAAATTTTACTTTGTAATTTTATGGCTTAATGTATAATTTTTTTTGGATACTGGGGATTGATGAACCATTAGTTTTTTTAATATTTATTTTTTAGTTGGACACAATATATTTATTTTATTTATTTATTTTTATGTGGTGCTGAGGATTGAACCCAGGGCCTCCCACGTGCTAGGTGAGTGCTCTGCCACTGAGCCACAACCCCAGCCCCTGAACCAGTAGTTTTTAATAGTCCACCAAGGGTCTGGAATCGTTAGAGTGCTTTCCTAGCACAGGCGGGACCCGGGTTCGATCCTCAGCACCACATAAAAATAAAGGCATTGTGTTGTGTCCATCTACACCTAAAAAATAAATATTAAAAAAAAAAAGTTGAATAGTCCACCAAATATTCCTTAAGTTAAGAGAGATATTTGAAACTTTTATTCCTTTGAAAATTAGTTGTGACCACAAAAACATTTTACTTCTACAGTATGAACTCCAGATGCCAAATTTTGATGTAAAACTAAGACCTCATGCGTAACACTGAGCATTAAAAGCGCTGAATCTACCTGAAACTGAACATGTGCTTGATGAAAGTTTTGGTTCTTCTTAGTGGAAAATGCACCAAAAAGCATACTGGCACAGTTGAGCCTGCCCTGTTGCAGGTGTGTCCTAGCTGTGGAGGAACCCCTCCCTGCTGTCACTCTTCCTAGGGCTCATGGTTTTGGGATTCAGGCTGTGGGAGCTGTTTCTACTGCATTTGTCAGAGCTGGCACCATGGTCGTTAGTTTGGCCATCGCTAGCCCAAGGAATAGGAAGTAATTGAGACGTGGAGTCATCTCCTCAGCCATGTCTTCCTCCAGCCTGCTCAGCCACCCAGGCCTTCTCTCATTGTTCTTAGTGATCACTGCGTCTTCTCTGCCCTAGCATAAAATCCCAACTCCTCAACACAGTTTGGCCCTGTCCACTTTGCAGACCCCTTTGTCCATCTTTGCCCGTCTGCTTTTGTTCTTGTAGCTCTTTTTTTTTTTTTTTTTTTTGTACTGAGGATTGAACCCAGGAGCACTCAACTACTGAGCCATATCCCCAGCCTTTTTTTGTATTTTATTTAGAGACAGGGTCTCACTGAGTAGCTTAGGGCTTTGCCAAGTTGCTAAGGCTGGCTTTGAACTTGTGATCCTCCTACCTCAGCCTCCCAAGCCTCTAGGATTACAGGTGCATACTGTTCATGTAGTTCTCCAGTCCTTTCTCACCTTGAGTTCTCCCATCGTGATTGGATGACTGGATCCTTCTCGTGATTTAGGGACCCACCCATGTGTCAGCCCCTCTGGGAACCCTTCCCTGCCCTTGTGAAGAGCCCTCTCTACCCTATTCTTTCACATTTCCCTTTGTTTCTTGCACCAAACTTATTAAATTTCAGAATGTCTCCTCCAACATTTATCAGTTCCTTGTGGTGACATGTTATTTTTAAAATATTTTTTAAGTTGTAATTGGACACAATACCTTTATTTTATTTGTTTATATTTGGAGCTGAGGATCAAACCCAGGGCCTCCCATGTGCTAGGTGAGCGCTGTACTGCTGAGCCACAACCCCAGCCCCGTGACATGCGTCTTTTAAATTGAAATTTTAATTAACGTAATCATAGATTCAGATGTTGTTATAAGAAAAATTGCAGAAGTCCCTTATATACTGTGTAGTTTCTCCTAATGATAACATTTTTCTAAACTATAGTACGTCACAGTCTGGATATTAACATGAATATCATCCATAGATCTTATTTAGATTTCTCCAGTTTTACTTGTACTCATTTGTGTGCCTATGTTACATTCTATACAGTTTTCCATCTGTGCAGGTTCCAGGTATCTGCTGCTGTATTAAAATACTGAACAGCCTGGGCCTGGCCTATAATTCCAATGACTCAAAAGACTGAGGCAGGAAGACTATAAGTTTAACACCAGCCTCAGCAACTTAGCAAGACCTGTCACAAACTAGAAAAATAAAAAGGCCTGGGATGTGGCTCAGTGATAAATTGTACCTGCTTTCAATTCCTGGTACACACACTCACAAAAAGATACCGAACATATCCATCACTACAATGATCTCTCTTTTTTTTCCCCCTCAAGGTACTAGGGATTGAACCCAGGGCATTTAACCACTGGGCCACATCCCCAGCATGTTTTTATTTTTTTATTTTGAGACAGGGTCTCTTTGAGTTGCTTAGGGACTCAGCCTCCAGTGATGGGACTATAGACATGCACCACTGTGCATGGCTATAATGATCTCTCTCTCTCTTTAAAAAATAATTTAACCTTTATTTATTTATTTTTTATGTGGTGCTGAGGATTGAACCCAGTGCCTCACCCGTACTAGGCAAGTGCTCCACCACTGAGCTACAACCCCAGCCCCTACAATGATCTCTTATGTTGCCTTTTAATTAACTGTGATCTACCTCTTCTCTCCATACTCCGCACTCTCTCCCATCGTTATCTCTTGGCAACCACTAATCAGTCCTCTATTTAAAAAATGTTTTTATTTAAAAAATGTTCTATACATGGGATCATACTTTTTTTTCTGATATTACCTTTGGGATTGGCTTTTTTCACTTAGTATTGTTCCCTGGAGATCCGTACAAGTTGGTGTATTAGCAACTCTTGTTTTTTCATTGCTGGAATGTATTCAGTGGTACAGATGTGCCACAGTTTATCTAACCACTCACCTGTTGAAGGACATCTGTGCTAACTCCAGTTTTTACCTATTGTAAATAAAGCTGTTATAAGCATTCTTTGTATAGAACTTCATGTAAATAAAACCACATCCCAAAGCACTACTGGTGAGTTATCTGGTACTTGTGTGTTTTATTTTTTAAGAAACTGCCAAACCTGTTTCCAAGAATGATTTTATTTTATTTATTTATTTTTTTTAAACGATTCTTTTTTTTTTTTTTTTAAATATTTATTTTTTAGTTTTCGGCGGACACAACATCTTTGTTTGTATGTGGTTCTGAGGATCGAACCCGGGCCGCACGCATGCCAGGCGAGCGTGCTACCGCTTGAGCCACATCCCCAGCCCGATTTTATTATTTATATTACCACCAGTAATTCATGAGTTTTAAGACACATTTTTTTTTCTGGTACTGGGAATCGAACCCAGGGATGCTTTACCACTAAACTATATTCCCAGCCCTTTTTATTTTTATTTATTTATTTTTTTAAAGAGAGAGTGAGAGAGAGAGAAAGAGAGAATTTTCAATATTTTTTAGTTCTCGGCGGACACAACATCCCTGTTTGTATGTGGTGCTGAGGATCGAACCCGGGCCGCACGCATGCCAGGCGAGCGCGCCACCGCTTGAGCCACATCCCCAGCCCCAAAATAATAACTTCGGGGCTGGCAGTGTAGCTCAGTAGCAGAGCACCTGCCTGGCACGAATGGTGTCCTGGTTTCGATCACTAGCACCACAGATGATGATAATATTTTTTTTTTATTTATTTTTAAGAGAGAGTGGGAGAGAGAGAGAGAGAATTTTTTAATATTTATTTTTTAGCTCTCGGCGGACATAACATCTTTGTTTGTACGTGGTGCTGAGGATCGAACCCTGGCCGCACGCATGCCAGGCGGGCACGCTACCGATTGAGCCACATCCCCAGCCCTTATTTTTTTATTTTGAGAAAGAATCTTGCTAAGTTGCTTAGGACCTTGCTAAATTGCTGAGGCTGATCATGGACTTGTGATCCTCCTGCCTTAGTCTCCTGAGTCACTGGTATTACAGGTTTATGCCACTGGTATATGCCACTGCGCCTGGCCATTGTTTTCATATTTTAACACATTTGAAATTGGGATACATATCTTTGTGGCACATTAAATAATTATTCATTTTACATTCTGTCTTCTTAGGTTATCTAACTTGTTGGTTTGAATACTTATTTGTCTCTCTTCTCACAAGAATAGCAGTTTTCACAGGGCAGAGATTCTGGCTGTCTCATTTTTTTTTTTTTTTCAAGGCCTAACACAGTCCACGTATATAGAATAGAGGGCCCCCAACAATTACTTGTTAGATGTAAATGAAGTTGTTCATTGTTCAGGTGTTGACTCAAAGTACAGGTGCTGGAGCTCTTAATACTTTGTATCCACACCCCCAATGAGTCAGCATTTTTAACAGAAGATCCTCAAAGTATCCTAAATCCAATTTTTAATAATAAGGTACATTGTGGCCAGGCTGGGGTGCACTCCTGTAATCCCAGCTACTTTGGAGGCTGAGACGGTAAGTTCAAGGCCAGCCTGGGCAACTTTCACAACCTTGTCTCAGAGTAAAAAAATTTTAAAAAGAACTGGGGGTGTAGCTCAGTGGTGGAGCCTAGCATGAGTGATGCCCTGGATTCCATTCAGGATGCTTATGAATGAAGAACTTAAGTTTGAATCGTTTCTTAAAATATAGCAAAAGGAATATAGGCCGTCACTTTAAGTACTTTAAATACTTTTTAAGCTTTTAATAAGTTCTTAGATCATTAGGTAAGAATAGATAGTATTAAATCAAATCATAAACATCTAAGTATTAATTATTTAAAATATAGGGAAATTTGGGGCTGGGGATATAGCTCAGTTGGTAGAGTGCTTGCCTCGCAAGCACAAGGCCCTGGTTTCAATCCCCAGCACCACATACACACACATTAAAAAAAAAATTGGCAAATCTTACTGTATGTTAATTGTACCTCAATAAAATTGACACAGAAATTGATGTTAAAAAAAGTATATAGGGAAATTTCCTTCTGAGTTAGTAATAACTTGATTTCTAATAAAAAAAGAGGAAGAGCTACTAGGAGTTCATTCTTACTGATGAGATTCGGGTTTCTTAGGGTTTTGATTTATAGAGGCAACCTGAAGCTGAAATACAAGATAATGGATATTGTAAAAATATATGGAATAAGAGCCTTCAAAATCAAAGATTGGTCAAGAGTTTTATGTAGATTGTGTTACAATTTGAATAGCAGTGAATTAACTAAACAGATAGACCTCAAACACAATTTAAGTTTACCTAAGCCTAATGAAATAATACAGCCTCTTCCCTAGACTCTATTCCTTCACTTCCATACTAAAACTAAATAGATAGGTAAAAAGAGTTGTAGGCTTTTGTATGTTGTGGTTTTTTTTGTTAGTTATAGTTGGACACAATATATTTATTTTATTTATGTGGTGCTGAAGTTTGAACCCAGGGCCTCAAACATGCTAGGCAAGCACTTTACCGCTGAGCCACAACCCCAGCCCCTTATGTGGGTTTTTCTTATTTATTGATTTATTTAGCTATTTAGTTATTAAAGATGGGGTCTCATGGGCTGGAGTTGTGGCTCAGCAGTAGAGCGCTCACCTTGCTCGTGCGAGGCCCCTGGGTTCAATCCTCAGCACTACATAAAAATAAATAAATAAAATAAAGGTATTTTGTCCAACTACAACTAAAAAATAAATATAAAAAAAAAAAAAGATGGGGTCTCACTATGTTGCCCATGCTGACCTCAAACTCCTGGGCTCAAGTAATCCTCCTGTCTCAGCCTCCCATGTGGCTGGGATTAAAGGCCTGAGCCACCAAGCCAAGCTCTGTTCTAGATTTTCTTAAGTGCTGAGAACAACTTCCTAAGTAGTTCAATGACTTGTTTGTTATTGGGTTTGTTAGCATATGTATAAATTGATAAGGAAACATCAAATACCTTCAGTGGGTTTTCTTAAACTCCTTTCTTTTCAATAGTTCCTACACAGTTCCTGCCGAGTGCTGCACTTCTTCACTAGAAGTAAGCGACTCCTAGCAGCCAGTCGGTTCACCTTCACCACCCAGCAGGCTTCTTTGCGATTGGCCTGGATTTTACAGAACCTGACAGAGGTAGGGAAAAGGTTTTGTGTGTAGAAATGTGAGAAAGACCAGGGAAGGGAAAATCCAAGAAATAAAACTAGTAATTCAATTATTTGAGGGAATATGAAGCCCCACCACTATTGGAATGGAAGATAAGTCATATTTACTTGATTTGGTTTTTAAAACCTTTTTGTTAGGGTACACTTGTACATTGCTGGTGGGACTGCAAATTGGTGCAGCCAATTTGGAAAGCAGTATGGAGATTTCTTGGAAAGCTGGGAATGGAGCCACCATTTGACCCAGCTATTCCCCTTCTCGGTCTATTCCCTAAAGACCTAAAAAGAGCATGCTACAGGGACACTGCTACATCGATGTTCATAGCAGCACAATTCACAATAGCTAGACTGTGGAACCAACCTAGATGCCCTTCAATGGATGAATGGATAAAAAAAATGTGGCATTTATACACAATGGAGTATTACTCTGCATTAAAAAATGACAAAATCATAGAATTTACAGGGAAATGGATGGCATTAGAGCAGATGATGCTAAGTGAAGCTAGCCAATCCCTAAAAAACAAATGCCAAATGTCTTCTTTGATATAAGGAGAGTAACTAAGAACAGAGTAGGGTCGAAGAGCATGAGAAGAAGATTAACATTAAACAGGGATGAGAGGTGGGAGGGAAAGGGAGAGAGAAGGGAAAATGCATGGAAACGGAAGGAGACCCTCAGAGTTATACAAAAGTACATACAAGAGGAAGTGAGGGGAAGGGGAAAAATAATACAAGGGGGACAAACGAATGTCAGTAGAGGGGGCAGAGAGAGAAGAGGGGAGGGGAGGGGAGGGGTGATAGTAGAGGATAGGAAAGGCAGCAGAATACAACAGACACTAGTATGGCAATATGTAAATCAATGGATGTGTAACTGATGTGATTCTGCAATCTGTATATGGGGTAAAAATGGGAGCTCATAACCCACTTGAATCAAATTGTGAAATATGATATATCAAGAACTATGTAATGTTTTGAACAGCCAACAATAAAAAATTAAAAAAAAAAAAAATAAAACCTTTTTGTTGTGTACACATGTAGAAAGGTGGACGAAGCACAGGTTTACACAGGGTGATATTTAGTAGAGCAACGACTGTGTGGCACCACCTGGATCAAGAACTGTACCACTGTGTAATTTCATATTGTATATGAAATTTTTACATTTTTATCATTTATGTGTGTATTCCTCAGTACTATACTTTAATTTTGCCTGAATATTTTTGCTTTTTGGTTTTTGGTACTAGGCATCGAACCCAGGGACATTTTACCAGTGAGCCGTATGCCTCGCCCTTTTTATTTTTTATTTGACATAGGTCCTCACTAAGTTGCTGCAGCTGGCCTCGAACTTACAGTCCTCCTGCCTTAGTCTCCTAGTGTGCATCACTGTGCCCAGTTTGCCCGAACATTTAAAAAAAAAATTTTTTTTAGTTGTTAATGGACCTTTATTTTATTTCTATGTGGTGCTGAGAATCGAACCCAGTGCCTCACACATTCTAAGCAAGTGCTCTACCACTGAGCCACAACCCCAGCCCCTTGCCTGAATATTTTTGAACTATATAAATTGAATTGTATGGTGTGTACAACATATTAGTGAAATATGCCTGTGTTGTGTGTAAAATAGTTTGCTAATATTTTCAATATTACTTACTGTTCAGTGTATGGTTTTACTATAGTTTAAAAAAAAATCTATTCTGTTCATATACATTTGGATTATTTTCAAGTTTGGGCTATAATGAATATATCAGGGGCTGGGGATGTGGCTCACGCAGTAGCGCCCTCCCCTGGCATGCGTGCGGCGCGGGTTCGATCCTCAGCACCACATACAAACAAAGATGTTGTGTCCGCCGAAAACTAAAAAGTAAATATTAAAAACTTCTCTCTCTCAAAAAAAAATGAATATATCAGTGTACATGTAAGCATTGTGTCTATATGTAGAAATGGAATATTTAGGGCATGAATGTGTATATATATCTTCAATGATTGTGGATAATGTCAAAACACATTTCCAAAATGTTCACCCACTATCGTGATGGGAGGACTTTTTATTTGATTGACCTTCATAAATGCTATTGGACTTTTTTATTTTAGCATTCTTGTGGGTAAGTACGGACCTCATTGCAAATTTGACTGAGTAAAAAAATAAGATCTAGGGTTGGGGGTAAAGCTAGTGGGCTCAAGGTCCCTGAGTTCAGTCCCCTGTTCCCCTGTACCCCATCTCCAAATCCAGCTAAATACTGTCTACTGGGGATATACTTTAGATTTCAAAAACAAAAGTAATTGGGTAAAAAAGCCATATCATGGAGTGAGCCGATATAGTGACATACACTTGTAATTCCAGCTATGTGGGAGGCTGAGATAGAAGGATTGCAAGTTCGAGGCCAGCCTTAGTAACTTAGTGAGGCCCTGTCTCAAAATAAAATAAAAAAGACCCTGGGGTATAGCTCAGTGGTAAGGCACTACTGGTACAAAAAAAAAAAAAATGCAGTGGTTATCCTGGTATCAGATAGAATAGCCTTTAAAACAAAAAATGAAAATTACTAGAGACAAAAGAGAATTTTATAATGATAAGAAAGTTAATCCATCAGGATTAAAAAACAATTTTATAATTGTATATGCATCCAATAACAGAGCCCCGAATACATGAAGCAAAATTGACAGAATTAAAAAGGAAAATAAGACAATTGAACAGGAATAGTTGAAGACTACAATATCCTATTGTCTTTCTTTTTTAAAAAATACTTTTTACAGCAGATGGACACGATATCTTTATTTTGTTTTTATGCAGTGGTAAGGATCGAACCCAGTGCCTCACACATGCTAGGCAACTGAGCTATAACCCCAGCCCCCAATATCCTACTTTCAATAATGGTTAAAACAGTTAGACAAAAGATCAAAAAGTAAATAGAAAACTTAAAAAAACAATAAGAACTAACTATGTCTAATAGATAGTTATAGAAAATTCCATTCAACAACAGAACATATTTCTTTTCAGGTGTGCATGGAACCTTCTTTAGGTTAGACCATATGTGAGGCCATAATATAAGCCTTCCTAAATTTGAAAGGATAACATCATACAAGGTCTGTTCTCTAACCATGATGGAATGGAATTACAAGAAAATAACAGAAGAAAAGTTTGGAAGTTAAAAAGAGAGAGAGATTAATACGCTTCAAAATAACCAGTGGGTCAAAATTAGGAGATACTTTGAAATGAATGAAAACGATGATACAATATATCAAAACTATGGGATGCAGGCAAAGCAGTTTTTATAACTTTATAACAAGGCTATATTAAGAATTTTTTCTTTTTTTTTTTCCTTGGCAGTATTGGGAATTGAATCCAGGGTCACTACCACTGAACTATGGCCCCACCCCTTTTTATTTTTTATTTTAAAGCAGGGTCTAGCCAAGTTAGTTGCTAAGGCTGGTGTTAAACTTTCAATCCTCCTGCCTCAGCCTCCCAAGTCGCTGGGATTATAGGAGTATACCACCACACCCATTTAAGAATATATTTAAAAAGAAAAAAAAATTAACTCAACCTAACTTTCTATGAAAAGATAAGCAAACTAAACCCAAAGCAAGGAAAGAAAAAATTAAGATTTAGAATGGAAATTAATAAAATACTTAACAAAAAAATGAAAAAAAAAAATCATTAAAACCAGAAGTTGGTTCTTTGAAAAGACTAGCTACACAGACAAAAAAGAAAGCAAACCAAAATAAATAAGACCATGAATGAAAAAGGGGACATTAATAATTCTGATTTCACAAAATGCCTTAATGGGCAACACTATGAACAAGTTAGGTCACTATTAAAAAATGGAAATTTTCCTAGAAATATACAAACTACTCAAAAATAAAAAAATAAACAATCTGAATAAATCTTAGCAAGTAAAATGTTTGAATTAGTAAGTAACAGATTCTCACCTGGAAAATCCCAGGTCTAGATAGCTTCGTTGGTGAAATCTACCAAAAGCTTAAAGAAGAATTTTGACCAATTTTTCCAAAAATAGAAGAGAATGGAACACTTTTCAGCTCATTAGGCCAGTATTACCCTGACACCAAAATCAAAGACATCACAAAATTGCAGACCAATATCCCTTATGAATATAGATGCAAAAATCCTCAACAAAATTTTAGCAAGTCAAATCTAGCAACAAATAAAAACAATTATATATGACCAAGTAGAAGTTATTATAGGAATGCAAGGTTGATTTAGCATTTGAAAATTGACTAATGTAATATACCAAATTAATATAATAAGGGACAGAAAATACATGAGCATGTCAGTAGATGTAGAAAACCCTACAAAGTAGGAATAAAGGGTGATTTATTAGGGCCGGCTGGGCATGGTGGCACACGCCTGTAATCCCAGCAGCTCCAGAGCTGAGATAAGAGGACCTGATTGAGAGTTCAAAGCCAGTCTCAGCAAAAGTGAAGTGCTAAGCAACTCAGTGAGATCTTGTCTCTAAATAAAATACGAAATAGGGCTGGGAGTGTGGCTCAGTGTCAAGTGCCCCTGAGTCCAATCCCTCGTACCAAAAAAAAAAGGGTGACTACTTCTACCTGATCTGTGGAGACCCTATAGCAAACACTATACTTAATGGTAAAAGACTGAGTGCTTTCCCTGTAAGTTCAGAAATGAGATAAGGATATCTATACTCATCACTTCTAATTAACATTTTACTGGAGGTTCTAAGCTGGAGCAGTTACACAGTTAAGCAATGAAATAAAATGCAGCTAGTTTGGAAAGGAAGGAGTGAAAGTATCTCTGTGATCCAGATGACATGATTGTCTATATAGGTAGTCTTAAGAAATCCCTGAGAAAATGATTACAACTAATAAGTTCAGCAGAGTTGCAGGGTATAAAATCAATATACAAAAATCAATTGCTGTATACTAGCAATGAGTTAGAAATTCATTGAAATAAAGGAAACAGTTCTATTTATGATAGTGTCAAAAAGAATAAAATATGGGCTGGGCATG